TTAAATTCTCATAAGGACAGTGCAACCTAGATCCCTTTCATGTTGCAGTTTACAGTACGGTTCATGTTCCTATGAGAATCTAATGCCACCACTGATCTGACAGGAGATGGAGTGATAGAGAGTGGCTGTAAATACAGATGAAGCTTTGCTCACTGATCCACATCTCACCTTCTGTTATACAGCTCAGTTGCTAACAGGCCATGGACCATTCCTTCAGTGTGATCCAGGGATATTTATACTTCTGCAGAGATTCAGAGAAAGATGGGAATAATATTCCCTCTTCTTTTTTTACCCTGTAGCCCAAAATATTTTACATAAAATACTAGAAAATAGGATATTTTTGTATTAATGTGCTATCAGGGAATTGAGATATTGATTATACAATAGAAACAGAGACAGAAACATATGAAATGAGAATATCAGTAGTTTAAATATATGGATGCAAAATTCAGTCAAACTTCATCATTTTGGGATATCTAAGGAAAAGACTGGGTAAAATTTGGGAAAACTCTAAATAACAAATGAATTTTATTTTAGTGTTATAATGTTTTCTTATATTGTTTGGTGCAGAGTAGATGTTCAATAAATATGTTAAGTAAAATAATGGATGTGTATCTATCTCTATTTAATACTCTGTCTATAGTTACATAAATCTAATATCTAAATGAATATATGACAATATTGTTAAGATTAGATCCTGAGAGACCTATCTTAGTGAATAAAGGCCAATCATCAGTAATTAATATGTTGATTATGTCCATAACAGATCTTGCTAAAGTGATTTTAAGCACCTAAATAACACCCCCAAAATATTAATTATCCTATATCCATGCACACATTCACACAAACACACACAAATATACACATTTCTTGTTTATAAATTGTATTTTTAAATAAGATATTCTTAGTAATACCAGAGACTTTAGCATAACTACAGTCTGAATTACCAGAATCTCTGAACTAGTGGAGTTTGAATAAATAAATTTTTTAATAAATCAGGTTTGAATAAATAAATCAGGTTTCATTATGCAGGGGAAATATAACAAAGAGGAAAATAAATGTCTTTAAAATTAAAACAAAAATATGAATTACAAAAGAAAATGAAATCACATAAAAATAGAAAATATTTTACCTTTATATTATGCAAATAAAATATTGCATAATATAATACTGCATCTTTAATGATTTACATGACAAGCTCTATAAATTGAAGGGCTATTCCTAAATAAATTTAAGAATGATACCTTAATCATTTTTAACCCTTTTACTGGCATTTTTTCTTACAACTTCTGAGGGAAAAAATCCCGCAATTTAATGACAAAAATAATATACAAAAATACCACAATATCTGAAAAGAGACACCATGATCATTCTGTTACCTTTAGACCCAATTTTCAAATTGTAAATGAAAAGAAATAATTCTAATAAACATAGAACAAATTCCATTGCTTAGGCAAACCTAACAGAGTTCAAATGTACTTTGCCACACATATGACACTGAAATAGTAGGTAGCAGCAGAGTCTTTTCAATAGTTAATGTGTCAGTTGTATATAAAATTATATACGATACGTAAGGTCATCTCTTTACAAAAAATATTTTGAGCAAAGCTATGGAAACAACCCAAGTGCCCATCAATTCATGAGTGGATTAATAAAATGTGGTACATGTATACCATGGAGTACTACTCAGCTTTAAGAAACAACAGTGATATAGCACCTCTTGTATATTCCTGGATAAAGCTGGAACCCATTCTACTAAGTGAAGTATCTCAAGAATGGAAAAACAAGCACCACATGTACTCACCAGGAAGTTGGTATTAACGGATCAACACCTAAGTGGACATATAGGAGTAACATTTATCGTGTGTCAGGAGGGTGGGAGGGCGGAGGAGGGGATGGGTATATACAACCACAACGAGTAAGATGTGCAACATTTGGGGAATGGACATGCTTGAACCTCTTACTCAAGGGGGGAGGGGGGCATGGGCAATATAAGTAACCTTAACACTTGTACCCTCATAATACACTAAAATTAAAAAAAAATATTTTGAAACAGAATAATGTGAAACCAGAAAGGTTTGTAAAACATTTCAATAATCATTGAGGGGAAAAAAAGAATAATTCTAGGCCCTTAATAGATTACATTAAAAACATCAACTGAATTCTTCAAAAGTATTTTTAAATAAAATTAATGACATTTTAATTTGCAATGCATGCCATATAATATGAAATATGAAATTAACTGATATCTAAATTGAGAACTGATCCTATCTCAATTATCTTTGCTAATGGAGGAATGAAGTAGTGTGTCTAATCCAAAATAGAACATAATCCCAAAATTGTTTCTACGTGCTTCACAGAGCATTTTTTCTAACATTGATTATAGGTGAGTAAACTATTCTTGGACATATGAAATGAATTCATGTAAACTAAGAAAGGGACTTACTTAACTGCAAAGAGGCACACATTCCTCCATGTTCTCCTGATTACTTTTTTTTTTTTCCTACTGCCTGTATCTTCAACAGATGTGCTCATGGCTTTCCTCAGTAACCTTAGCTCTTTCATTACATTCTAGGCATAAACAAAGAGTTAAAAATTGAGGAGTTTTGTTTTATTGATTCACTTGGCGAGGAAGCCAAGTTGCAGGAGGTAAGACCAAGACCTCAATTCAGGGAGGAGGCTCCATTATCTTGTAGGAGGTGAAGCATATATGCCAAGTAAATTAGAAGATGAAAGCCTCAAACTGTCTTTTCATAGGTACTACAGACATCATGATAAGGAGGAAAGAAGAGGGGCTCAGGAGTTAAAAGGATCTGAGTTTAAAACTCTGCTCTACCACTTATTTGCTTTGTGACCTTAAGTAATTAATTTTAACTCACTGAACCATAGATTGTTTGCTTAAAAATGAAGACAATATCTATAAGGCTACTATCTATCTATCTATCTATTAGAGTTTTTCCCTGACAGATAAGCTACTAATGTTTACTCAAGAGTGGATTAGCTTCAAGGCAACTTTAAAATCACTTCTTTGTTTCATCTACGCATTCTCTCAAAACTGAGATACAAAGTTGATTATTTACATGGTGCTATTTCTAGGCTCTGGCAATGTATTTTAAAGCCAAGAAATAGATTATCATTTATTGAGCAGCATGATATATTTCAGATATTATTGTCCCTTCTGTACTCATTTATATGCAAAGGGCTACTTTCTTATCATATTAGAATTTGTTTATAAATACTTAAAGTCACAAATTCATTTTCTTCCCCTCAAAACCTGAGTTTCTTCCTAAATTGTCTTAGCTAATGATATCATCATCCAGCTTGTATACCCAGCTAGACATGAATCATATTAGACTCCACCCTCTCACTATGTTTAATCAATTATCATATGATTGATTACAATTACTGAAGCACTCTGAACCTCTTTTCCATTCTATTGAATTTGACTTAATTCAGGCTCTCAGTATTTCTCCTTGAACTTTAGCAACCGACCTTTCTTTCACCACATTCATTGCTCCCTACCCTCCACAGCAACTGTTTTTAGAACATTTGCTCAGTTCCTTAGCAACGGTTCCTCTTACCTATAAAAGTTTTCTTTTTTTTTTTAACAAAACAAAACAAAATATCATGTGAACTAGAACATAAAAAATTCTAACTGAGGCAGAAGTGTGGAGCCTGGAAGTATTTCTCCAATGTCCATGTCCAAGAAAAGTCCTGAAAAACACTTTGTAAACCACTTTGCCTATATGAAAAAAATTAAACTGTTTAACATAGTAAACCAAAAGCTGGTTTCACAAGCTGGCTTTTCCCTCCCCTTTCTATTCTAACCACATCACCTATAAGTCTCCCAACTCAAATCTCTGCTCCAATCTCTTTAACTTAATTGCTACTCCCCCTATTATACTGTGCTCATTCTCATCAGTGTATATCTGTCTGTACTCTTCTATCTGCCTGGAATGCTCCTCACCTGATTCTCCATCTGTGAGGCCCAGCAAACAAGACATAGCTTCAAAGTTTTCACCTTTCTCAGCACTTCCAAGCTTACCAAATTGATGTAGTTTCTTCCATCTCTGTGATCTCACAGCATCTTTTATGTACTTGTATTTTAGCCACTATCACACTTTAAGGCAATTATTAGTTTACATTCCTTTCTCCCTAATTCTACTGTGACAAGGACTACCACTCAGTATATTTTTCTATTACTTAAGAATTAATACTCAAAACACAGTAGGTGCTTTATAAACCTTTGTATCATGGAAGGTACATATAAAAATTTCATTGTCAATAAATTCATTTTCTACAATATAATAGCTTTAATGATTTTTAAAGTTTTTATTAGAGAAAAATTAAGTGTATTTTTAAGTGTTTGTGTCTACTTTTAGGTACATTTTTAGGGAATCAAAAAAGTTTATTGCTAATTTATGAGACTGGTATTTTTTACCAGTTTTCACAGTGTTCAATGAAAAACACTAAAACATCATTCAGGGCAATGACCGCCTGTACCTTTTCACCTTTTTCTTTTCTAATCATAAGGCTCCTCTACCAGGGATACATTTTCTTTCTACCTTTTAACCTAGAATAATAACTTGGAAAACATACATGGATGCCCAGAACCCCAGAAAGAAAAAAGAATATTATTGAGACATATAAGTAAGTAGGTGTGGTACATCGTAAAGGAGATTTTGAGAGAATTCCATTTTAGCCAGTACTCCCTCTCTATGCCCAACAAACAAACGTACACATACATACAAACATACAATAAGGCCTTAAAAGGAATTTTCTGCAAGGATATGGCAATTATTTTTTTAAATCATGTCCCTTTGATTTGAGTCACTGGAGTAACAAAAGTTGTTTTCATGAGTACTCAAAAAATTCAATAATGTAACCTCTAGTAGAGCTTGAAAAGCTCTGAAGGACAAGGCAGTTAGATCAATATTAGTTTATTTCAAATGTCGGGCAGTATGAAGAGACAAGGCTGATCATCAGATGGATTTTATTACCTGTTGGAGTGATAAGTCCTGGCGATAAGAGGCCTGGGACTGCATGGGGCAGAAGGCGGGCATTGTCCTGCAACACTCCCAAAGAACGCTTAGGGGGCCTGCCAGGCCTTGAACTGTTGAAAAACAGACAAACATAGATCAGGTTAAAAATGTACTCTTTTGGGGAATATCATCACTTCCTACATTCACGTTTCAAATCTTGTTTAATTGCCAAGGGTGATAGAATTTTACATTAAAGACTTATTTTCATGGGTTACATACAGACCAATTCCTTCCTCTCCACTAATTTCCTAACATAGTTATGGCAACCATTTAAACCATAAGGGATCAATTTCTAGTTTGGATTCCATTTACAGGCCAGTACTTTGCAATACAGCTCACCTGTTGTGAGAAACTCTAAGGTACCCACTGTTCTTAAAGCTACACTTGATCCCTAGTATTAATATATGCTACTAAGATCTGAGATAGTGACTCACAGAATTAAGATTATATAGAATGTGAAGTGATTAAGTCCCTGTCCAGCCAGAGGTGAGTGGTAAAGAGGTGAGAGATGTAGAATAAAAGCTAATGTTTATTAGCATTTCCACAACTGTTGGGAGCCCATAAGGAAGAAAGGACCCCTGCCCTCAGTAGGTATTTTTCCTACCTTTTTTTTTTTTTGAGACAGTCTCACTGGGTCACTGGTAGAGTGCATTGGTGTCACCCTAGCTCACAGCAACCTCAAACTCCTAGACTCAAGTGATCCTCCTGCCTCAGCCTCCTGTGTAGTTGGGACTATGGGTGTACCACAACACCCAGCTAATGTTTCTATTTATAGTAGAGATGGGGGTCTTATTCTTATTCAGGATGGTCTCAAACTCTTGAGTTCAAGCAATCCACCGGCCTCAGCCTCCCAAATTTTTCCTACCTATTTTTTAAAGCAGGCTGAATAACCAGCAGCACACTCTCTTAGAGTGGGTATACTAACAAAACCTGCCACCTTTGCAATCTAGGCTGTCTTTTCTCCCAGATTGATTAGCATTTTTAACTGAGGAGTTGATGCTAAACTTATGTTAACCTAACCCATTGCATATGCACTTTCTTCACCCTAGTGTGAGCAGTTCAGTAATTGCAATTGCAAATGCTAATCCACAAAATAATGAAATAAAATGTATTTTTTGCCTCTGTCTTGTACCCTAATACAGTTAGTGTACTGAAAACATCATTAGAAAGCTGTCACCATGGAAGAGATTTATAAGTCATAGAAAATTAGGATCAAGTCACCCAATATATTTCTAATACTACTTTCTAATGTTGCCTAAGATATTACTGCTGCCTTTTAGTAGAAATGCACTTTACAAAGCTGAATAACAGGGCTTGTAAGAAAGTGCTGCAAAATACTATATTAAATAACCTTAGCTGCAAAAAATGTCTAATGTTCAGATAGAGAACATTTCCAAAAATGACTTTTGGTTCACAAAGAAATTTAAGTTAAACCTCACTCTATCAACTTTACAGTAGCAAAGTGCTCCATCAATGTAAGACAAACTCTGCTTTTAAATGAAGACGACTTCTATCAACCTTACACAGAGGTACCATTACCCAGTTCATTTTTCATACACTGTGCTAGTGTTATTTTCTTCAACTGTACATCAATATTGTATATCAATCTAGCACAAAAGATTCTGTTTTTCTCATTTAATGTTTCAATTTTATAAACTGACTCTCCTCTCCTTTCTACTTGATTCTGGGCCATAATTTATTTTATTTACTTCAGTGTTGTTACCCTGTTTGCCCTTGCCCTATTTTATGACTTCCTAACTGTTGTAAAGAATGTTGATAAGAGAAATATACTATTTACTTCAAATATCCTAAAGGATCCCAAGATCACTGAATAATGTTCATTAGGATAAGGCACATTATTTTGTTGAAAAATCTTCACTAAATCTATACTTTCTGAGTGCTTCATTGTGTTCTTCTATTTGTCAGAACTCAAGCCTACTAACTTTATTTAAACCCACCTGATTACTCTTTGTACTTTTCCACTGTAAACATTTCAGTGCTATCTCCATGCTCAAGATCACTTTCAGATAGGCTTCCTCTAGACCAGGGGTCCTAAAACTTTTTAAACAGGGGGCCAGTTCACTGTCCCTCAGACTGTTGGAGAGTGCACATTGTGGGCCCGGGACGAGTCAGTTACTAAGCAGGACAGGCAGTGGCAGCAAAAACACCCAGAGGGCCGGATAAATGTGCTAGGCAGCCTGCTTGTGGCCCGCAGGCTGTAGTTTGAGGACACCTGCTCTAGATGTAAGCAGCCTGATGCGCCCCCCATTTCCATATGATGAGCCATAGGACTACCAGCTGTTAATAATACACTTTGAAAGCTATAAGATTTAACTAGTTCTGTTCCAAATTTCTCAGTCCTCACTATCTGCAGCAGCTCTTTTTCAATAAGCTGACCTAGTTTTGAGGGGCATTAGAGGCTTCTTAGTCTAATGATTCTATGTTAAATTCCAAGATTTGAAAAAATTACAGAATACATGGCTTATGTCAGAAATGGTTTGGTAATATCTACTGCACATGTTATAAACTCCATGAGGACCATATTCCCCATCCTAACACTCTTCTCACTTTATAATTTTATGTTGTTGGTATGATTAATTGTAAGTCTCCCCAAGTAGAATCTCAGCTCCATGAAGGCAACATACATGTCTGATTTTGTTTGGAACTTTATCCTAAGCAATTCTCATGGTTTCTAGCATGTGGTAGGGTCTACTAAATGGTCAATTAAATCAATTAATTAATATAAATAGGAAATATGCTTTAATTGTTTCTACAGTTTACAAATATTCCTTAGATCGCTCTGTTCTCCTTGAACACATGAAGAAAGAGCTAGTTGCATTAGGTAATCATTTTGTAAAACTTAGAATCCACAACAATTATAGGATCATCAATATATGATCCTGGAGCATGGACTGAGAAAATGGCAAAGTAAAGGTAACCCCTGGGACTCCTGCTCCAAGAGAAGGAGACATAGATCTTGGTCTCCTACACACAAGTGTATCTCCCCACTACAAGGACAGCATCAAGAATCTGCAGAGGTTCAGCACGGGACTCTCATAAAAGGATAAACAAGGTGATCGGGAGATAAGAGCGTGTTCTCTTGAGAGTGCAAAACAAACAATAGGGCGCATAGGAGGGCTCTGGCCTGCCAGGCCAGGGGGTGAAGTGGGATCAGACCCACAGGAGAACTCCTTGCTTCCCCATTGATCTCCGTACCCACCCAGCCAGGGACCTGTCTGAAACTGATGCAAAATCACAGCAGGAGAAGAGGGTGCAGGAGAGTGCAGTCAATGATGGAAAACACCGTGAACTCTCTCTCCTAAGCCCTGCGCTAGGACGGCTTCAAGACAGGAGGAAAATGAACTGACCTGCTAGGGGAGGCAGTTAGACGTTTTGTCTCAGGTAACCTGTGGGGCCAACCCTACAGAACTATTCATTAAGTCGGGGACATTAAGCTGTAACTCCCTCGAGCGAATAAGACTGCACAGGGTGGGTCAATAAGAGCAAGAGCTATGGCTAAACAGGTGGTCGGGCAGGCGGCATAGAAGAGGCTACGGGGATCCTGTTGACCCAGACTCCCAACCTGGCACCTGGCACACCCTAAACAGTTGTCCCCAGTACTGGTGCCCTGTGAGTGGGCAATTGGTTGCCATTGAGGGGGTCCACAGCCCAGCGGTCATATGGTACAGTGGGCAAGCCCCCCTCCCCCGCCCAGCCTAGAGTCTCTCCTGGCAAATTCCCCCTACACAATCTGTGATCTGCTTGCCAGGCTTGGCTGGACCAATGAACTACTGAGAAGACTAACAGCTGAGAGAAGTTACAGCCACTTGGGCGCTGCGGTGCAGGGCAGACTGGAGAGCTACCTACTCCCCCCAGCCTGCATCTCTCTTACCGAAAGTGATAGACTCCACCCCTGGAGTGGGGCAAGACAAGAAAACACACTCTTCCCCAAATCTAGGGAGAACCCGCTAGACCTGTGTAGTGCATAAGCACACAGTATAAAAAACATCACTTCCCAGAACAGCTGAGGTCACCCAGTTGAACAAAAAGCTGGGACTAGATCTCCCCAGTCAGGGGCAGGCCCCTCAAGTAAATACCCCCATCAGGGGAACATTCCAAGTGTGGTGGAAGAGCTCCTCCCAGTGGCTGATCAAGAAACTACAGAAGAGAGGATGCCTGAGCTCCAGCAATTGATCCAGATGGGGAGGGCCCAGCATAATTCAAAAAATCAAACAGAAAATACTCCCCCTAGGAGATACACCAGCTCTCAAGAAATGGAGACTAAACAAACACAAAACACTAAAATGACACAAGAATTCCAAAATTGGATTGTAAGAAAGCTCAATGATATGCAAGAAAAAGTGGATAAATAATGCAAGGAAACTAAAAAGAAGTTACAGGAATTGGAACAAAGATTCACTAAAGAAATCAAGAACTTGAATAAGAATCAATCCAATATCCTGGAAATGAAGAATTTATTCAGGGAAATGCAGAACACAGTGGAAAGCCTCAAAAATAGGGTGGACCAAACAGAAGAAAGAATCTCAGAGATTGAAGACAACACATTCAAATCAAATAAATTAATCACAGAGTTAGAGCAGAAAAATAAGAGACATGAGCAAAGCTTACAAGAATTGTGGGATAATACGAGGAAAAATAACCTGAGGGTCCACTGGATTCTGGAGAAGGAGGAAGAAAAAACCCAAGGGTTGGATAAGCTATTTGAAGAAATAATTGAGGAAAATTCCCCAGGTCTAACCAGTAACTAGAATTAGAAATACAAGAGGTCAAAAAGACTCCTGGGAAACACAATGCAAACATGAAAACACCACAGCATGTAGTCATCAGACTGACCAAAATATCAACAAAAGAGACTCTCCTACAAGCTGTAAGGTGAAAGAAGCAAGTTACATACAAAGGAAAACTGATCCAAATAACGCCAGATTTCTCAACTGAAACAATACAAGCAAGGAGAGACTGGGGCCCCTTTCTCACTCTTTTGAAACAAAATAACACCCAGCCTAGAATTTTTTATCCTCCAAAACTAAGCTTTATATATGAAGGAGAAATT